TTGTAAAGTAAAATTTCAAAACAATTGAATGCGCATTTTAAGAGATGTTTTAAAAGCCTCTGAACGAACTGAGCATGTTAATTCCTTCATACTTCCACTAATATTGAGTTCGTTTTAGTAGGATACAAATTTGAAGTTTCAAAAAAAAAAAAAAAACTTTAAATACCCTGGAAAGTGACACATTTTATTTCATTTTTGTATTTACATTTAATATTTATATGGCAAGGGTATATCTTAAAATGTTGATTGAACTAAAGTTCCTTTTACACAGAACAAATTATGTGGGTTTAACATATTTATTTGTATTTACTGATTTATATATATAAATATTATAATTGGAATCCAACCAGCCAATCAATGAGCGCATCGTCCAATGATGTCATTTTTATATGACATTCTATTGGTCAATATACACTTGTCGTTTCAGTTTTAATTGTGAAATTTATAAATATTTATTAAAGAAGGGAATGGGCCTGAGGTGTCGATAGCATATTTGCATCTCAACCTTAAAAATGAACTGAACAGTAATAACAAATATTCATATTGTATTACATAAGTGTGTGGCAATTTACCGACGACTTTGTTGCTGTATGTAGAACACCGACAATTTATGAGCCACATTAAAACTTATTTCAACTATTCCCTTCACACTCCGAGGCCTAGAGAAATTAAAATTCTTTACAATTAATTAAAGTATAGCGTCTTCTGTTTACACACTGCACAGAGGGTGTAAATAATGGCTAATGTTTCGGTTGTTCCCATGGAGGCGTGTTCACATGGTTGTCCCTGGCTATTTCACACGTGTGACATTTTATAATTTTTGAAAGGTGTTTGAGAAACAAAAAAAGCCGTAAATAGTCAAAAACACAGATATACATCATCGTTTATTTGTGCTGTTTTTAACACATTACATCCAATGTTTGTTTGGGCACAGGTACGGGGTAATCTGATTAAAATCTGATGTACTAGTATTGCATGTAGGGGCTGGGCGTTCAATTGGAGTGAAACTGTCCTACAACTACAGAAATACGTACGCACTGCATCTGTCGACGTGGCGGGTGTGGACGCATAGCGCAGACATAATGGCCATTATCAAGTATGACGTCAAGTAATTTATTTCTAAGGGCAGACCTATTTACATATCTCGAATAAGGGCAGGTTACTGCCCGGACTCGTTGCAGGAATGATATACTATGAAAGTTTTACGTCACATCCCGACTGGACATAGATATTTTTTATTCACATTTTCCTCACTTCTTTTACATTACAGTTGTTATGAGAATGATTTATTTTTTCCTCTTTTCACGCTCCACAATTTTGTTTTATTTCCAAAACCATTCAACCAGCTAGTGTTCCATCGTTTGATTCGCACGGTTTCGCACACGCCGTCCATCCATGGCCGTCCCCACGAATGTGATAAGACAGTGGCCGAATTAATGAACCTTAACTGGTGAAGATGCCATTTTTTATAGCACCAGAGAAGCCGAATTAATTAACCTTGACTGACAATATCACATATTTCTTACCCACGTACTCATACGAATCAGTGACAACCCCGAGCCCATTAATTCTTAACTGCCGTGGTCGACGTGGCGCCCTATTCATAACCACTGTGATGAGGTCATTGAGGTGTATTGAAACAAATGTTTACTTACGAATGTCAAAGGCGTGTTTGGGAATTGAACATGACGTTATTACCCTATGTGCACAGTTACGAGGGTGTAACCGACAATATTATTGATTTCGGTAGGCAACTGTCAGAGTAATCAGGGAGCAGATGTTAGTTAAAGGGCGGTAGTCGTCGCGCCGCGTCCTGTTCGATATGGGACTCATAACGACGTATACAATCCGTGTAAAATACATTATTTATTTACATGAAAATCGAACACGCGCTGCGCGACGACCACCACGCTTCAACATTTTTTTCGACGTATCAAATTTGGCCTTTTATCGACTCAACTAAAAATTAGTTGCCCCTGATTGGTTGAATGTTATGGTGAGAAAGTGTTGTTATCACAACTTTGTTTGTGTTTATTTAGGACGTGTTTTATATGTCACAGACAGTAGAGAAGGTACATTTCAATGAGGTGACCACTGTAGGCTAGGAGATGCTGAATCCACTTTTGAGAAACCACGCCCAAATTGTACAAGGGAATCTTGTAAACACCACACTTAGTACAAGGGAATCTTGTAAACACAACACTTAGTACAAAGGAATCTTGTAAACACCACACCTTGTACAAGGGAATCTTGTAAACATCACACTTAGTACAAGTTAATCTTTTAAGAACCACACTTAGTACAAAAAAATCTTGTAAACATCGCACTTGGTACAAAAAGAATCTTGTAAAAACCACACTTAGTACAAAGGAATCTTGTAAACACCACACTTGGTACAAAGGAATCTTGTAAACACCGCACTTGGTACAAAGGAATCTTGTAAACACCAGACTTAGTACAAATGAATCTTGTAAACACCACATTTGGTACAAAGAAATCTTGTAAACACCATACTTAGTACAAAGGAATCTTGTAAACACCACACTTAGTACAAAAGAATCTTGTAAACATTGCACTTGGTACAAAAAGAATCTTGTAAACACCACACTTGATACAAATGAATCTTGTAAAAACCACACTTGGTACAAGTGATTCTTGTAAACACCACACTTAGTACAAAGGAATCTTGTAAACACCACACTTAGTACAAAGGAATCTTGTAAACACCACACTTAGTACAAAGGATTCTTGTAAACACCACACTTAGTACAAAGAAATTTTGTAAACACCACACTTAGTACAAAGGAATCTTGTAAACACAACACTTAGTACAAAGGAATCTTGTAAACACCACACTTAGTACAAAGGAATCTTGTAAACACCACACTTAGTACAAATGAATCTTGTAAACACCACACTTAGTACAAAGGATTCTTGTAAACACCACACTTAGTACAAAGGATTCTTGTAAACACCACACTTAGTACAAAGAAATTTTGTAAACACCACACTTAGTACAAAGGAATCTTGTAAACACAACACTTAGTACAAAGGAATCTTGTAAACACCGCACTTGGTACAAAGGAATCTTGTAAACACCACACTTAGTACAAAAGAATCTTGTAAACATCACACTTAGTACAAAGGAATCTTGTAAACACCGCACTTGGTACAAAGGAATCTTGTAAACACCAGACTTGGTACAAATGAATCTTGTAAACACCACACTTGGTACAAAGGAATCTTGTAAACACCACACTTAGTACAAAGGAATCTTGTAAACACCACACTTAGTACAAAGGAATCTTGTAAACACCACACTTAGTACAAATGAATCTTGTAAACACCACACTTAGTACAAAGGATTCTTGTAAACACCACACTTAGTACAAAGGATTCTTGTAAACACCACACTTAGTACAAAGAAATTTTGTAAACACCACACTTAGTACAAAGGAATCTTGTAAACACCTCACTTAGTACAAAGGAATCTTGTAAACACCGCACTTGGTACAAAGGAATCTTGTAAACACCACACTTAGTACAAAGGAATCTTGTAAACACAACACTTAGTACAAAGGAATCTTGTAAACATCACACTTAGTACAAAGGAATCTTGTAAACACCGCACTTGGTACAAAGGAATCTTGTAAACACCAGACTTGGTACAAATGAATATTGTAAACACCACACTTGGTACAAAGGAATCTTGTAAACACCACACTTAGTACAAAGGAATCTTGTAAAAACCACACTTAGTACAAAGGAATCTTGTAAACACCACACTTAGTACAAAGGAATCTTGTAAACACCACACTTAGAGCTAATAAAAACAAACATGGCTGCTACCAGGGTTTACCAGACTCCACACGAAGAAGTTCACTGATTCTGTTCTAAACTTTTTGGATTTTGGCATTCCCATGATGTATCCTTGGAAGAAAAAGATGTATAATAATGTTATGAGAATACCTTAAGGTATGCACTCAGACAGTATTCTGTTGCATCGACCTTTGCTGCGTGTCAGTTGATACTGCCACTGTACTGTCTTCGTGCATACTTTGCCGTATCTTCGTAATAGCCTTGTATTATTCCATGCATATTTGCAGTATGAAATGTTGTAATGCAAATTTCCATGACGTCCTACAGATTTGAGAATTTATCAGCCCCCTGAAACCAGCTACAAAAATGCCTGGAAGTTTTAAAATGTTTAGTTTTGTTACAGATTATTAGTTTAAAAATTTGTCACAACTTCAAAAACATTTCGTGGGGTTTAATTATTGGTAGTTTTGGACAACTTAGCAGGAGGGGGTCGGCAACAGGACAGGCATGGCGCTCTTGAGGTTACTGGGTCTGAAAATCGACGCTATTTTTTTTACAGAACTGGTGGGAAGACTGTTAAAGACATTTTGGTATGAACATCATGCATAGTTTGTAACTGATGTATTAAATTGTACAATTCCTCCTTTTTTTTGGGGGGGGGGCTTACCAAGTACACACTGTTACCCCCGCAATCATCGACCAAACCAAGTCGTGTATGGTATAATACCATCAACAGACTTCACTAATTATTATGCAAATTATTAATACGCATGGGATTTCACTGGAATCCAAAGAGTTGCTCTTAAGATATCTGCGGAAAATGTACACAAACATATACAGACAGGGTAATCATGAAGACAAACTGGAAGTACAAAAGAAAATGAAAAACTTGAGATTTTTATTTCTAAACTATGTACAAATAATTTGCAACAGCTGTTTGTAATAAGTTACAACTAAAGATACTTTTTTTTTTTGAAAAACATTACCATATTTGACCAACTTGCTCAGTCCTCAGCTCCAAAAAAAAAAAAAAGAGGTGAAAAACGTTCCTTATGACGATTTTCCTTCACTATGTGCCAGGAGGAATAGTATGTCTCTTTTGGTAAACAAACCAGAATATTACAAAAATATTTGCGTTATCACTGATTTCTACAACAATTTTACAATGAACAAACAAAGACATTTCATTATGATTTAATTTATGTACCAACAGAATTATTATTATTACTATTAGAATCTGCAGGAAAACAAGTCAAGCCTTCATCATTAACTTTGTTGTAGTATGTTTTGGAACATGCGCAAACTCCTGAGGTAAAGCAATGTCCACCATAATATTTCCCAGGATTATTTGACCTGCAACAATGAATTTTGTCCTAATACTGTAAAATACTTTATTTTCACTGGAATTAATTTTCGCTGAAAAGACTTTTTTAGGTGTGTTGTATGGAATTTATTTTCACTGATTTTTAGCGAGTTGAATGTAAAAGATAAGAAAAAAGGTATATTCGCTGGATTTTATTTTCACTGAATCATTCCTTCAGCAAAAATAGCGAAAATTTATTCCAAGTGAAAATAAAGTATTTTATAGTAGATCAAGCCTGTTATTAACCAATAAGAGAGCTGTGTCAACCTGATGCAATACTCCGCAAGTCAATCGAGTACGGTATTTTTTTTTAACATAATTTTATTGCAAATTATCTTCAGTGACCGAATCATCATTTTCAACCCCTTTCTTTAATTTCTTGCCAATGAGATCGAAAATCTTCTCCGGTGGATATCCTTTCGGTTCGGCAACCTTAACTGTTAACATGTCCAAAGTCATTGCAGTATCGGCTGGAATATCCTTTGCAGCAACAACACTTTTACCAAGCTGTGAAAATACAACAGTGTTTTTTTTTTTTAATTTGTCACCAACAAAAACCCAGTAGATTATGCATGCTCATTCATACCAGCTGACAATAATCTCTCATTTCAATTAGTGACAAGGTGGTCAAATGTTTATGTTGAAAAGATCAATTTTGAAAATCTTCTTTTTTTAATGTAAATTAAAAATTAATGTAAAATGTTTATGCTGTGACATGAATCCGGTGCTTTATATCGCACATAAAATCACACCCATAAATATTCTAAAAGCTTTTTTGTAATTTACTAAGATCATCATAAAAGTTGTCGTGTATATCTTTCTAGTTGTATAATTGAACTATACTGTGGGCTCATATGTCCAAATCTACCATTCTGATTGGTCACAATAATGACACATACAAAATGAACACATCAATAATTCACAAAAATATTTCATTTTCCAAAACACTCATTCGTATATGCCAGTATCCATGGTAATTTACATTTAAGATTACCAGGTAAGTGACAACAAATGATATTTCCTCGTCAAAAATTTTAGAAAGGAATAGGAGGCATATGAAGTAGGAATAGGACATATTTAAACTTATGCAAATAAGGTAATTAATATGCAGGTTTTTCAAATGTGAATTGACCCGGAAGACATACATACCAAGTTTCATTGAATTCTGTCATAGTAGTGTTTGAGATACTGGTGAAACAGCTAAAAATTGGCTAATTTATGTGAATTAGGTGATTAATAAGAATTGATTTCAACTCTAAACAGGTTTATTGTAATCAGATTAGTACTCTAGATATCATTGCAACAGCTGGAAATTGGGCTATTATATGCAAATTAGGTTTCATTGAAATCTGATAGTTCTTGCGAGACCAGAAATTTACCCAATTAATGCAAACTACCGTAGGTAATTATTATGCTTGTTTTTTAATCCTAAACTGATCAGGTCTGTGGATTATGCCAGAGCAACTATACACTAATTATTATTGATGTATATTCAATAGTTCTTGAGTTATCACTAATACAGCTGAATATTGGCTCCCGGTAATTATTAAATCTTGGAAACATTATCTCAGAGCATCTATGTACCAATTTTCTTTGAATTACGATAAGCGATTCACATACATACACACTAACATAATGTGATTCCCACACAGGAGTTAAAAACAGAAATGTAAATTGAAGACCAGTAAAACACATCGTTTATATATAGTGCATATTACAGTAGGATTATTTGTTACATAAATCTAAAAAGAAAATACATAATGCTTTTTTTTCTCCCTGATTGCAAAGTGATAAGTTGGATAATCACAAACAATATGGTATTATACACAGCTAGAGCTATTTCATCCTTAAAGGGGAACCTTCCAAGCTCAGGGATTGCACAAAAGAATCATGGGACACTATTGTTTATATTGTTTACAAAGTTAATCTATCTTTTGTTATCCATTGTAATTTTAATCCAGAAAGTAAATTTTTTGTGAGATTAGGCTTAACTGGAAGTGCCCCTTTAACAGAAGCCCAGTGCAATATCTTGTGGTATATTAAGTAAGATAATTGTTTATCTCACTAGTACATTTCATTTTATATTGCTATGTTAATAAAATGAATCAATGGATGTCTCACCTTCTGATGCGTAAACAGCTCACATGATCGCATCTTTTTCACTCGACTTCCCATCGCTCTTTCTACGATACGTATCTGTGATATAAGTTCTTTCAACTCGCTGGGTTCTACAAAATAAAATTCATTGTAAATGACGTAGTTGTCATACAGAACTTGGTGCAATGATATTCAGCTTGTTTATGACCTAACTGACACTAAAATTCAAATTAACCTTACTTGATACAGGTCGTCGCACTGTTATATCGTATGTTTACATATTTGCTAACAAGTACACAAGATAAGTGTCGCTTCTATGATCTGCTGTGGCAACCTTGCTAATAAGTTACTTTATTAACGAAAACACGTGTACGTTTAGTTAATAACAGTTGACAACATCGTTTCTATTTTATATATTTGGGTGCGAATAATTGGTTCTTGCCAACGAGCCACTGTGCACGGAAGTGCAAAGCCTTATATTCAACCCCAATGTAAAAGGCAAAGGAATCTTAACAATTCCTTGGAAAACTCATTGAAAATGACACAGTCCCTGTTGGTACTTTTTTTTTTGAAAATTATTATGAGCTAAATACCAGACATCCAAAAAAAAAATGGTGCACTATGTTTGAATGAAAAAAATTTCAAGCAATTGCAGATAAAATGACATATTTAAATGTGTCAACTGAAGTTGGTGTGTAGAATGGTGTTACTTCTTGCTGGTGTTCTGATGGCCGATATTAATATTTTTATTATTTATTATAACTGACATTATAATAGACATGTGATACAAACTGAAGCCAGTATGCGCGATTACTTCCTTTACTAAAATGGCTGCCATTCAGGCATCTTGAATTGAATAATGAAACAAAATGTATGTTAAAATGTGTGACATGATGTACATGTATTTGTGAAGTTTGAATGTGATCACTCCAGCCATGCCTGAGATATTGCTCCCAAACTGTAACTGCTAAAAAAAATGGCCACCAGTCGTCCATTTTAACATGCAGCAGTATACATATGATAGGATATATGTGTAAAGTATGATTGAGATGGTTAGTCGGCCATTTTGAATCTGATCTGCATCAAGGTGTATGTACAAAGTTTTGAATGAAAGATGCCCATGCATGACTGAGAACCCGTTATGGAAGGGCATTGTTAACATAAAAATTGCCACTAGTCAGCCATCTTCAATTTGATCATCAAACATGTGTGAACTGATGTATTGGGTATGTGTCAAGTTTGCATGCGATTGGTCAAGGCATGTCATAGACATGGTATTGGAATAGCATTTTGTAAAACAAAATAGCCAAGAGTCAGCCACTTTGAATGAGATCAGATGACCCTTGACCAATTTAACTTACTGGAAGAAATATTATCCAGAAAACTTTGCTCACCTAAGGATGCGCTGTGATCACTGCCTTTCCATGTTTTATCTAAAGTAATGTGTCGTTCTAATACTTTGGCTCCCATAGCAACAGCAGCTAATGTTATACTCATTCCATTTTCATGCCCAGAATATCCAATTGGAATATCTGGAAATTCCTTCTGGTATTCCTGGAAAATAAAAGTGAAGGATGTGAGGTACAAACTGTTTTATAAATTATTATACAACCATATAAGATTTTGATTTATTTTTATAATAGTTATTATTTAATGGTTTTGTGAGTCGGTGATGCAATATTGTATCTGCAGTAAAGATTTTACTGAGATCATTAAGACAGGGAGTCACAGTGACTTCTGTGAAATATTGTAGAAATGAATTTTGTGAAACTTTGACTTTGCAAAACACAAAATTATGACAACTTTTCAGCAAAGTGTCATTTCATGTGATATTTTCAGTTGATTCAATGATAAATAAATACTGCCTTGAAAGTATTTGCGGCATTTGCATAGACAGAAAAGCCCTACCTTGATAATATTGAGATGAACGTCTTCAGGTTCAAGTGGATATGCACTTGTACATTGCAGTATACAAAACTTATCATTGATTGGCTTTACTGTGTTATAAACCTTCTTCATTGTGTCCATAGTTTGCATGCCAGACGAGATCACCATGGGTCGTCCTTTCTTTGCGGCATGCTCCAAGTACGGCAAATTATTGGTGTCTCCAGAGCCCACCTTTAGGAATGCAATTCCTAACTCATCAAGGAAGTCTATAGCTTTCTGAGATCAAATAAACAGAATTTGTAATGTTGAAGTTTCGGAGTAAATTGTTGACATTTGATGAAAATATAAACTAGAATAAATGTGCCATTCCATTCAGAATAAGCCACTACATTATTGATATGGACTGCAAAATACTCTGCATGTTCCTTAACAGATTGTTCATATGTTATGCCTTGGTACTGTCTAAAAGTGGTCATTATAAGCAAGTGATTTTTATATAGAGGTGGTCACTAACATACCGGTAAATAACATTCAGATGAACAATTGCATTAACTGTGACTTTGACATCACTTATGTGGATGAATATAATTATTGAAATGATGTTAACATGGTCCAATCAGCCTAATGCACAAAAGTAGTAAAAAAAAAAGTTTCTGGACAAAATTAGATGTTTAGGGATGTTTTTTTTTAATTTTATAAAAAAAATTTTTTTTTTTTAATTCTGACAAAAAAGCTGTGACACGCCCATTTTAAGTGACTCTCTCAATGACCAGAAACACATTATTTTTTTTTTATGGGTCTTCGACATTGTACAACTTACAAAGATAAAATAAATTATCTTCTCACCTCATCCATTCCAGATGCTCCTAGTAATATACCAACAGACTCTGCATAGGCTTTTAATTCCTGATACTGTTCATGGCTAAATTCCAGATGTCTTTTATGTTCACCATATGTAACACCCCAAGAATTCTTTGTTGTATATGGTCTCTCCAACGCTGCCTTGTTGAATTTAAACTCAAGTTCACTTTTCTGGAACTTGGCACAATCAGCACCAGCATCCTAAAAAAAGTTTATTAGTTAAAATATTTCTATATCAGCGCTACTGATCGAGTGATGTGATTGGATGACAGCCTGTTGAATCACATTAACTACTGTAAACAGTTTTAGTTTCACAAGAAAATGTTTGCAAACATGGCAAATTACAAAAAACAAAACACATTGCATAAAGACACAAAAACACATTGCATAAGATCACTGGCGATATTTGAATGAAATATTTCAGAATGCTTGCAGCTTTAAAAGGGTGGGTCAGTTGGATGCACAGTTGGGCAGTGACTTCTATCAGTTTTTTGCACACGTTTCAGAATTTGCAGGTTTCTCCTTGCATTTCGTGCAGGCTGAGCATTTTCTGAAAGTATCCGTACCCTCCCCAATTCTAATGGTTCATCCCTTATGCAGACGCTGAATCAAATCAAACCACGGACCTACACGTGTCCAGCTTGAAAGTAAAACGAGAAGAATTCCAGTGCCTATGAGATTTGACACGTGTACATGCATAACATTATATGGAAGTCAGTTATTTGAATTTTTTACCTTAGCAACTTTGATCATCTGTTTGGCAATATTGATATCGCCCTGGTGGTTCTGTCCGATTTCAGCGATGAAAAAACATGGGTGGTCACCACCAATCATACGACCAGGGGCTAGTTCAAATTCGAGAGGCATCTTTGTATGGAGATTGTGTGCTTGTACGGTTGACTCGATAGAGACACTCACGGGGCTGATTACTGTGTGGGTTAAGGGTGTGCCTCAAAGTCATTCACAGAAATAGACACAGACGGGCACGTCGATAACCACACGTTTTTAGCAGTACGCATGCGCCTAAATATGAACTTAAAAAGCCTTAACTCGGACGTTGAGGGGGTACGACACCGCGAAGTCGGTTTAAAAAATGTATGTTCGAACCTCATACAAACTCGGACATTTTTCGCGATATGACAGTTTGGCGGTCAACGATGCTACTGTTTCTCCGAATCATCGAAATCGACCAAAACTCACAAAAATAAAGGAGTTTACAGTATTTTTCTTATTTTATGATATATTTTAGATTTCTCACTGAAAGAGTTATTTAGTGCACAGTCCCTCTGATCACGGTTAGTAACCGTGCTCTGATACACTGTTTTTCTTGTGACTTGTTTGCATAGTAAGACAAATCATATATAATAATTACAAATGCATATTCAATACAGATACACCGTTAATGTGAGTAGTAATGTGTCCAGGTTCAAATTATACGTGCTTGCTCAGCAAATGTAACTTAGGTATTGTAAAGTCGACAAGAAAAAACATATTTTTTTAAATTTTTATAGATACCAGAGGTACATTACTTGGGGTTTGCAACTACGGTGACATGATACCAAGATCCCGTTACAATCTCGCTCTCACATAAGCGTTCCAACTCAGAAAAATGCGAATGCGCATGCCCTAGGTAACTAGGATACTGGGATGTCCAGATGGATCAAAATAGCTGCCCACGATATGACGGATTACGAGAACTATATTTTCAGTACATTTTCGATGTATTACATTTTTCACTATGATAGTGGCAAGAAAAGTTTTATTTTTTCATTACAAACCTTGAACATTGATATATGTCATGTCAGAAGGTCGTAGCCTCAGTCTCGCTATCTACGAGAAGACACTTGAATGGGATCTTGACATGATGTCACCATACAGTACTATGCGAGTTGCAAACCCCAAGTAATGTACCTCTGTAGATACTTACTTTTCGCTCTGCTTTTAATAAGTGTATTTCAACGTCAGTTTTGCACCACGGCTGTATTGAATGTCTCGAATTTCCGTAGTTACTAGTATATGTCGTAATCTGGTTATGGAGCAGTATCAGAGATACCGACAACTCAGAATATGCAACAAATTTATTTACTCGTATTCAGAATTTGATTATATGCCGCAACAATCACGTGACCACAATTAAACTTGTACGTAACGTTGTCTCGTTATGTAGTATAGTACTTTAGTAGTGATTTTGTTTATCTGCTTTTCTATTTTTATTATTCTTTTTTCTATTCTTCGGTGACTAGTATTTTCAGAGGGTTGGCAAGGGGTATTTTTCGTAAGCTGTAATCAATTGTTTTTATTTTCGTAATAATGTAATTTGAATAAATAAAAAACGTAAATTCGTAGACATGGGCAAGATGTAAAATGTAATCAGCTATTTTATTCGTCCGTAATTTGTACAAAGATCTCATTTGTTGTAAGCGTATAAAGCATTTTCCACATTAGATGTCGTAATTCGTACGGAATTCCCATTTTTGCTTCTTAAAACAAAAGTTATGTAAAATATACTTAAGAATTTGCTTTATCTGTAAAGTGTAAAAACCTACTTACGTATTTTTAATGTAAATGGAACTTTCATTTTATTCCCTGTAAAATCGTAAAATGCATTTTTTTATTTCCTGTAACCTGCCAGTGTACCAGCCTTTTCAAGCAACCGCACAATCTTGTTTTTGCTAAGTCTAACCCGGTACTACATAGTTAAAGCGCGGTGGTCTTCGCGCAGCGCGTGTTCAAATTTCATGCAAACAAACAATGTATTTTACACGCGTTGTATACGTCGCTATGAGTCGTGACGCGGCACAACTTTTTGAATAAGATAAAGCTTATTGGAGTTCACAAGGTTGTAGGTATCAGATACGTCTGACAGTTTTGCCATGCCTACCATCTCTGTGTCACGTGATCTATGAAGTGCAACACTCAGAACGACGATTGCCAATATCGCGTGGCATTGTGGGTTTGGGCTTTCATATGCAAATGCACGCGGAAACAAACGCCAACATGGAGGTAAGTGTTTCAGCTGATCGATCTCGTATCCATTACTACGCGCCCGTTCTGTATAGGGATCGAGGCGTTGTATATTTCCATACACAGCATACGGTCCATATCGTCCACATAATTACATTACTACGTATATTATAATTTCGCATCACATGTAGAGTGACTGTGATTGGTAGTACACGCTTGTTTTATGTTATCATGACTTGTTGTGTATTGTTTTGATCGTAGTGGATACCAAATGACTGTGGCTGTGTACACGTGGTTTCGATCGTTTCAAATACAAATGTACATGCATTCTATATACATTGTACATACATAGTGTATTGACTCCAGTACGGTTACTCGTACCTATTACAACTGCGAATCATACGCCGTGATACAAGCAAGCACTGTTCCATAATACTGTTTAGATATAACAATAATGTTTATTGTTATCTGAAATATTTATTCCTTAGCCGAGCTGTTTCATTTGGTTTGCTTATAGAAGCACTGTGATCAGATCTACGCAACACATAGATGTACAGTACTAGTGTTTACTATGATTTAGTCTGACAGTGATCGGCGAGGTCGCCCTCTCCGTTCGTTAGAAAGAATCTCAAAATGATTGGAAAATATGTTGGTTATGTTACTTGCACCACTGTGTTTCGCAGTGCTTACATCATGACGCCCGACCACCACTCTACAAACCCCGAGTTTGCGCTAAAAGAAGTACCTGGCTAATATACCATTGTTCGAGAGAGGTGTTATGATTCACATATTGGTCGATGAGGGCGCAGCACGACTGAAAGATCGTATCATAAAAATCACGGTTTAGCGAGCAGTCGTCAGATGCATGAAATCACGGATACTTTAATGAAAATTTGCATTAGAAGATCCACTTCTGAACAGAACTGTGTTCGCATAAGTTACGTAATACACAATCTAAACTCAAAATGCCTATTCAATATTCAGGTGTACAAAACATCTGTTCCAGTCCCGAGAAATGTTTTAGAAGCGTACGATTGACCATGGTCCCACAAACTCGGTTCAGAGTAGGATTTGGAGATTCTACTTCACTTATACCAAGAATGTACGTGACTACAATCTTTGTGTTAGCATTGGTTGTTCTTGTCATGATTTATGTGCAGTGTAGTAGTACAATTCATTGTTTTACCACTTTGCTATATTCTTTGTCTATAAGGTTGTACAATACAGAAAATATTATATTTATATAAGATATACCCAACTCAGCAGTTTGTTGATGGTCTATCATATATTTTATTTTATATATATATTATATTCTAGAAATGATTTGTATAAAAATCTATCTAACCCACTGGCGGATCCAGAAATTCAGTAGGGGGGCGCGCGTGTAAAATACATTGTTTATTTACATGAAATTCGAACACGCGCTGCGCTACGACCACCGTGCTTTAAATCAAGTTGTCCTTGAAGTATAGACAGTTTTCAAAAATAACTTAGTTGGCAAAATTCGATACAAAAGAAGTTTTTTATTTTTTTATTTATCAGCAATGTTTAATACAACGAAGCGAATGTAAACAAGTTTGCATTCCTTGTCACGTCTAGAAATAATATAATAGTAGCACTGACAGCTGTATTTATTGTATTATCATAGCGAGGTATTCCAGGCACGAGTCGAAACGCATCAACAGATTCACGTGTTATGAGCTATTTGTGAAGCTTCACATTTAGATGATAGATTTGTCATATCGCACGATTGTATTATAATTAGTGGGAAATTAACATCTGTGTTTGTTATATAGTCTATGGTTTATCTGATGTCTCTAATATTGTAGTGGTCACTGGAATACACATGACGTGTGATTGCGTCACGATCGGTAAATGGTGAAATAAAAAACTCGTGATTTTACATGTGCGAGTGGAACCAAGTTAGCCATTGGTTAGTATGATTATTATTGTATTCCCGCCTCCTTTGGAGTTTGTATTTTCAGATTTTATGGTAAGAAATGGGTCTTTGAAAAAAAATCCATGTCGATTTTTATCTATGTGGGCCATTTTTTCATTGTAGCTGTAAACAGAAGAGGTACTCAACTGTTGGATTGTAATATTAATTGAGAGCCAATCAGATTAGGGACGACGTCAAAAGATCGGCGTCGGATAAAAAACTTATTTGCTTTAGTTTGGGGGTGGGGGGTTTTGACCTTAAAAAGTTTCCATCCTACAAGAACAATTTTTTTTAATAAAGTCAAAAAAATGTTGGAGTACCTGTAGTTCGTTATTTTCTATCCAATCATGGACAAAAATAACAGATAATGAAAACATCCAAGACGAGAAAATGGTTTGGTCCGAGTGTAAATATGTGCGTCAAATGAGACAATTTCAGGGCATGGACCTAGAGCATGCGCAGAACCCATAAAAGTCGTTTGCGCATGCGTATATTCCCCCTTTTTTACAACCAACTGCTCTGCCATACGACTGTCCGATTTACAAATTGTATTTAATGGTGAATGTAATCTGACGCCATGATCAATATTTATCAATTAAGTTTCAGTTAGGGTGAGGGGGTTTGGGAAAAAACTAAAGAAATTAAGTTTTTTATCCTACATTGAACTTTTGATGTTGTCCCTTAAGGTACAAATGTAGTTTGAATCGAATTCAATTCTTGTATCACTGAGAGCGTGAATGTACATGTATACAATGCATTATGGGAAGGAATTTCCCATTTTATATGATGATACTAAAAACTGACTAAATTATTAAATAATTTTGAGATTCGTATCAATAGTAATATATGATATTTCCTCTCATGCCACAAAGCAAACTTTTGAGATATGAACAAATAATATCACCATGGAAACCACTGCAAGAATGCAAATGTTGACTACTTTTCAAGACAATTCGAATTCTTGTTTCTCAAAAACTAGTCTGGTGATCCCAATTTTCATTTTCTGTATCATGATGGCATGAACTCAAAGTATGACGCACATGACGTATAATCATCAATTAAAACAGTACATGTGTAATTAAGGGACATGCAGATTAATACAGTTCATGTTATAATAATTGAGGGGAAGGCAGCTTAACAAAGTTTACGCTATTTTAATTGAGGGACATGCAGACCAATTGCTTGAATACATAAGTAATAATAGATAATCTTATTTTGTTAATGTTTAGTAATAACTCACAACCAAACCAGCATTCAGAGAGCTCTCACTTTTGCCTTGTACGGTCTATTTTAATGAAATATAACTACTATTGACTACCTCACTTTCATGCAATTTTGGTAATTTTTGGTTTTTATTTTTAGCATGTCAGGCAAGATAGCATACTCGTATACAGAGCCCAACTGTGGTGTGGAAGATGACAATGTTCATCAAACATGAAATGAGATTTACTTACCTATAAATGTAATGCCTGGGCAGCCTCATGAATATTCATTAACTTAAATACTGCTAATGCATTAATTATCACTGGTTTTTAATTTTGCTACTTTCACTGATGAATAAAAATGACTAAATTAACTCCACATGAAAATGTAAAAATAACAATAGAAGTCATTGTTTTTCTGCCAAATCCATGAACTTAAACCCCAGTGAAATGGCTTAAACACAAACACTTATTTAAATAACCATGGCTTAAAGCATTTAAATAGTGAAAATAAATGGTTTTTCAGTATACAACTCAAATGAGTTTGGGGGAAGGCTCACATAAAATCCCGACTTACATCAACACACTCACAACACCTTGAATATTCATGATTTTACTAATAAAATTATCAATAATGTGGTCTAAATAAAAGTATACACTTCATATACTGTGAATTTTGAGAAGGCTTGTAAACAAATAACACACATTGATCTCAACATGTGAAAAAGCTGCAAACCCCACTGCACTGAATTTGCTTATTTTTTAATTGTTGTTTAGGAAACTCCAGACTTTGCACTATGGCTGAGTTGCAAAATCTGTTCAATTTACTCGGTACATGGTTTCAATACAAATTGACATAAAAACAATATAGGCTTACAAGTTACACAAGATTTTTAATCTTATATGAATATGTATGACCATAGTTATTTACAATCTGCATCAAGATGAATATAAATTTAACAAAACGTTCAAGAATACTCTTGAACGTAATAAATTGCTTGAATGAGTATAAATAACTAGAGTGCAGCAAATGCTGACTGCAAACATTCAAATAACACCGAATAAACGGCAAGATAAATACTATGTCAAATCATAGTAAACATGTACTACATGCGTGACTCGAACCGGCACTCATGTACGGCACCTAATCGCCTATGACTTGACATAGTATTTACCTTGCTGTTTATTCAGTGTTATTTGCATACTTTACTTTCTATGTCTACAGCAACTACGAGCTGACTGCTGCACTGTAATTTATTCACACCTCAGCAATAGATCATAGTTTACTGTGACAATGCTACCCAAACATTATTTTATTGTAGGCTCTAAAGGGTTATGGTTTTATCAACCAAAACACGTACATTTATATTCATTAACACTAGCAAACATCTGTTCCTTCCAACCAATCATTGCACATATGCAAATAGACTTGTACCAGTTTTAATCATGTGAATCATTGTAATATTGATTTATTTTTGTAAATCTACATGTTTCTTTGTCTTTATGCTAATTCTTATCCAGACACACTTGTATTCATATACAGAATGTAATTTCAACAGCTGCATTCATATGCTAAGTGTAATTGCCACAGTTAACTGTGACATATTTTGTACATGTATTGTAAATCACGCTTTGCACCTTGACTAGGCCTTAGCAGCTTAAGTCAAGGTGCAAAGTTTGAGTTGACAAGGAGATTTATTCCTTAAATATTGAAAAAGTTGGCAAAGAAAGGTCTTCACAACCACAGTAGGTAGAGCCTCTAACGACTGAGCTATCGAATTTCCGATGGAGATTTTGGGGAAGAAACGGGTATTAGAAATGTCATGTCAATAATCAAATGTTATACATTGAATTATTTATGAGCAAATAACAAAGCATACGTCTTTTGTATTTATGTAAATTAAAGCGGGGGTGTTGTCACCTGCACATGTGTCAGATGGCCATAGCGTGTCATTGTTTACAAACAAGCATCCATCCATGAGCCTTTGCGTTTTTAATGCGTGTTGTTATCGTCGCTTGGGACTCAATTCCCGCGTGTGCGCAGGTGACAACCCTCTCGCTTTAACATACATTCAGTGCTGTGTACTAGCAATGCAACCAATTGCAGAATCTTTCAATTTCATCGTTTTTTCGTGTTATAAATCTGAAACACTCACTTGAAAGTATGGGTTTATAAACTAAAGTTTTGGTCAAATTCTTGTAACTTACACTCTGGCAGGCACCCTTGCGCAATTTACCTGATTTTGACCAAAACAGCAGGGTTATACCTGTAAACCCACACTTTTTTGTGGTGTCCTCGTATAAGGCATCAATTCATGGCATAAAGTCACCAAGTGTAAGATTGAAATATGGAGTCACACTATTCTACAGTTGTGTTATTGCCAGAGTGACTAGGTACAGAGGATTCTGATTCTCAATCAGTTTCTATGACAACCGTATCACTAGAAGCAGTTGCTTCTTGAGTTGTGTCCTTCCTCTCACTAAGAAATGCCCTATTCATTTCCAGTCTTTTGAAAGTATGACAGTTGTATTTCAATTGCTTGTCATCACCGGGGCCGTTTACTTCCTCAAATATCACGGCCGTTCCTAAAGTATCTTTGTAATCGCCTGTGAATATGTAACGGTCTATTTGCAGCACCGGCTGTTTTGTCTCAACTCCCAGCAGTTTGCATTTTCTTCTTTCTTTGGATAGAAAATCTGTATCTATAATTCCCGATAGTTCAACCAAGACTAACTGTTCCTCTTCTACCCATTCGTTGTCGTCTGTGGGCGCCGCCATCTTGGATAGTCAGAGCTGGAAACGACTAACTCGTCGAAAAAAAAGAAGACTATAAACTCGCCAAAACAGTTAAAGCTCGATAACAAACTATCCGATGTCCACTAAATGACAATGCTCTCCAATGCGCCGGTCACCCTGACAGCTGCTCTTTTCATAATACGTTTCAGTGGCAAACGCCATATTGAACGTACCAGTTTACACAATGTTTGCGTTTCTGTGCTGGGTCTTGATGATATTTCCCCCTGTTATAAAACTTCCGTATGTTGAAATGTTGACAAGCACAAACTTCAATAAGTCTAGAGTTATCTGAGGTGCTGCAACACTTATGATGAAACAACAGACTATGCCGTTTAGCGGAACTTCGCTTTGTATCGATCAGTATGTCCCCCTCTATCGGCAATAACCCTGAATATTTATGCTTTCGTTTTCCATATTTCTGAAGATTGAAACAGAACAATTGTCAGCAACTGAATGTCTTCCCTGTAATACGAATCAGAAAATGGACAACGTTTTATATGTCTCCATTTCAATCTCTTTAGGCCAATATTTGCAATACCATGCATGTAATTACATTTTGTCAGGAGAAAGCACAAAATACGAAACATTGCGTCAGCCGGCAGAGGTACTATCGTGGCTGGCCATCAGTAGCATGTGTGGCATTTGATATATTTCTGTTGTTTTTCAGTGTTTTGGGTCATCAGGTCATCTGACATTTTGGGAATTTTGTTGATAATGGAGGGTGGCCTTTAACCTCTCCCGTCAGAAATCAAACATACTCACCCCTCCCTCCCCTCCCTCCCGGACAATACAAACTTGCTCTGTTCTGAAAATAATCTCTTGCCTTTTCCAGTCGCACATTCGGGTTCAAGTAGTGCATTTATCTGATGAAAAAATAAAACAACATTAATATTTATTTGCTTGTTTTTTTTTTGTTTTTTTTTATTTATTTATAATTGTTTACTATTTATGTATTTATTTATTTATTATTTACTATTTATATGTTTCTATGTTTGTTTCCAGTCCCCAGTGAAGTCTTTAACACGTTACGTGAAACTCATCGATATCAACCAGTATATCACGTGTCAACTTTGTGGCGGATACTTAGTAGACGCAACTACCATTACGGAATGTCTCCATACATGTAAGTTAAATAGCGCCACCTCGAGTCAAAACCGAGATTCAGTGTTTGCTTACGTTCAAGTGTTCGAAACACGCCAATATAGCGTTGGTCGTCGCTCTGCGCATGTGCGACATTTGTGTTGATAAACAATGATTTTCCCATAATCCAATGCGCTCTTCTAATAGAAAATCACATGTATAAGGTTTGACCTCGGCGCGACTTGCACTAATCACCGCCGGTAATACTAGTACCTTCCAACATAGAGTTTATACCTCCATGCTTCCAATCACCTAAAAAAAACTAATTAAAGCTTGGTAACATCTCAGTTTGTACTAGTTGATCTGCGCAACAGGCAAAGTCGCCATCTTTGTTTATATGAGACCCATATATCGCGCATGCGTTGCGCAACGACTACCGCCCTTTAATGAATATGCCTAATGATATTGCTTCCAATTACATACACAAAAAATCATCAGTAAAGTAGCATATGATGCGTATTGTATTGTTGATTACGTAATAGAGAATTATATTCAAGTCATCTGTGCAGCAAACCAGGCAACCAGTGCTAGAGGAAATTAATTTCTCCACATGTTTTCTATCTTTTTCTTTTAGTCTGCAAAAGTTGTATAGTAAAATACTTAGAGACTAGTATACTGTGTCCTACCTGTGACGTGAAAATACACGAAACATGGCCATACTACAGTATCAGGTAAGTCACGTGACATTAATCAGATGAGTCACGTGACATTATTTATACCTTCAAGTAATCTTGATGAGATATGAAAGCGGAGAAAGGAAAACTGGGTTCCTGTGAGTTATGATAACATTAAAACGAACAATACCAACAAGTATAGTAAGAGTTAATTGGTGTCTAAACCATACGACGGTTTACACGGATACGCCTTGGGGGGGGGGGAATGGTGATACGGGATGTATTGTGACAGTGGAGTGTCTAATGATGTGACGTAACTGAACCGTTGCATGCCGCGGACGAATTATTACTAGAAATCAATATTTTAGGAAATGTTTGACACCTAAAATCGCAACACTGTGCATTTAATGTCGCACCAGTCAGACGCGACCAGTGGTAACGTGAATTCCCGAGTCGTGTGTGTCATCTGCAGAAATGCCACCTAACTACGCTACTATAATGTTATCCAAGATCCATGCGACAGTTTACTTTAGCGGCATTGTTCCGATACCCTGTCATATGACCAAAGTAATTGACTTATGGTTTTAATACTAGTAGTGAGAAGTTGCATCCTTTGGCACTTCAAGAATCTCGAGTAACGAGGTCGTTGTCCGAAGTCATCAATCAATCAAACGCTTTAGATAACACTGTCACATTCACTGTGTACGGTGTGTTGAGATGATCACAGTCACTGGCACAAGACGAGACCGTTATGATAGAGCGTGGTAAAAGTTTATGTGTGTACATGGGCGGTGGCTACTCCACAGGAAATAAAGTTAAAACTGATTGTTTTTTAGATTTCGGTCAATATCATTAATTTCAGAAAGTGAACTTATCATACCACCTGTCTGAATTGATAAAATAGATTGGCATGCCATTTCAAAAAACACAGGAAAGTGTTATCTTTACTGACCAATTCTCGAGTTGCCGACGCCACGGTCCTGTGCCGACACTTTTTACAGCAATTCCAGGCACTGATTTGACTCTGAAGTAGTGCTAGATGTTGATAACTTACTACAATAGGTTTAATTACACACATTGTTTTCACATTTACAGAAGTTGATACAAATAATGCAGACAGCATGTCTGCAATTTGAAGCGCACCGGAAGAAAACTCCGCCCATAAAAGTGGCAATACATTAGTTTTGAATTTCTCCTCCAATAAACGATCTGAACTTAGTTTTGTACTTCAATTTGCGTCACATGTTATTTCAGTGAGAGGGCGCATACAGTGTTGGCACTGTAAAGAACATTATTTTACAGAACCAGCTGACCGACTGATCATGACAGAATTATTGATCAAAGTGCATTCATTATTCCTACTATGGAAATATCCGTATCACGTCGATGCATATAACTGAAAGCTGCCTGCAACAAATGTCCTATAAAGACGTCATCCAGTATATCAATAATGAAAATGAATACATAAGTAGAATGGGTGTTATTCGATTATTATTTCTCGACGATGAGAACCAAAGAGGTTGATGTGCCACCAAATAATAGGTTTAAAAAGTTTATCACTTGCAACACATGGTCACACGTCCGGGGAGGGTTGCCGCTGCACACAAGTAAATGCGCAGTCGCAATGTTTTATATAATATTCGACATAGTCTATAACGTTGTCAGTTTCCAGGCAGGATACTCTCGGTGGTAACAAACCGTTTGACGATATTATAAGCTGTCTGCTTTGAAACACCATTTCGATCTCTAATCTCAGCAAATGACAGTTCACGAAAATACAAATCGACAACTCTTGCTCTTACTTCAACTGGTTTTTTGACTCCTTGCTTGTCCATCGTGGTGCTTAAACAACTTGGACAAATACCGATTTGTAGACACGCAATCTACACGATGACCGACCAAAAGCGAATGAAAGAAAGACGCGCCTCAAAGTCTAGGTGTACCTGACTTTGTAGCAAAAATAGAAAACATTGTGGGGCAATATCTGTCAATCATTCCTCTGATTCGTCGATGTTTATATTTCTAGTTACAACTTCTGTAAATGTGAAAACAAAATATGTAACCTACTGTAGTAAGTTATCAACATCCTGAACTACTTCAGCGTCAAATCAGTGTCTGGAATTGCTGTAAAACAACGTTGGGAAAACCGATCTGTCCGCTCCCGCCAATATTATTCTTCGTGTTTCCCAGGGGACTAATTCGTCACGCTTTGCATTATGGGTGTTTCCTCTCGCTTGTCAAGATAACCGCCAGTCGCATGGAAGCATCATTTCTTTGCCCCGCCCACCATCGCTATCCACCCCCCACCCCCATCATCTCGTACACTCATCGTTTAATCGACTGCAATCGACAATAACAACTTCTTTTCAGGAGTCGTTAATTTTTACAATGACAGCGACGTGTTGCGCACTTTTCGACGAAGAAAAGGAAAACCGGCCAAGGTATGATTGTTTTATGAAACAAGCGACAAAAGCGCCAGTTACTTGAATCATGGATGTATAAACCTTCATGCTTGGATTAAGTGCGACATTGTCAGTATATTCTCAAATAACAAGTTTCAAGCTAAATTTTTGACTCCCATGTGCGAAGCACAAAATGGGAGTCTTTGCAGTTAGTGTGTCTGTATGTGTGTATGTGTGTATGTGTGTATGTGTGTATGTG